TATATTTCTGAGCTGTTTAACATTTTGATATTTACTTTGAGATCTGCATATTTTATGACATTTACCTTTAAGGTAAATGCAGTTTCAAGCAGTTCACTCGATTCAGTGAATCTGACAGTGTTACTTCCTGATTAATGACTATCACTTCATGGGAAGGAAGCATGATTGAACATTGCATAACTGCCTGTAGATAATGCCTTCCAAGCGAAGGCAAAAAGGCAACACTGGTTGATGGCACAGAAACAGTGCTCGGTGCCGCATCATTAGCTCTACGACAAAAATGTGTCATAAAGTGTAGGAAACGCCAGTCATTTAAATGTAAGAAACACTGATATACTAGTTATTGGAAAATTTTTCTCGTTTTTTACAGTGCATTCAAACCAAGCTTGTAAACTCTTTCAAAGCTAATTTCTTTATTTTCTGAAAGTCGCAATTGTTTTCATTAACATATTTAAACGACGATTTCGATTATAGAAGATGCGGATTTGGAGTTGAACACCACTGTTGAGGAAGAGGTACCGGACGGGGATGACTTGGCATTGGAAGAATGGAGTCGTTCCCAGAGGGACAGGGCTTCATGGCTATATTCAAGAGTAGGTTTGGCATGTTTCTTTGATTTATGTTATGACTTGCTAAATGTATAGCTGCAGCACAGTATTTATATCCGGGGTTTTTGATCCTTCATTGTAATAATGACAATTGTATTACTGATTGTCATTCATCGCGCGGGTTACCAAAGTACGCATTCAAATCTTTGGCAGAAGTGCTCGCTCGAAAATTCGGCTCAATTGGTTGCGAACTCTGCACAGCCGGCTTAGTGAATTCGATATTGCTTTAGGTAGAGAGTGCAAAGTACTACAAGGACCTCGGGTAGTTTTACTGGAGCGTTACATTAATTGGGATATCTGCTTTTTGACTGAAACGGCTCAATAGTTGATTGAAAAAGCAGAACCTAATGCTAATCTCTTGTCATTTCAACAGACTTACGCGGCACGGTCTTACTGTTCCGTTGCTCCTAGCAACATAGAGTCATTTCACTTCACACAGGCCACGGATCAATGGTATTATAGCACTTGCTGGCCGTGGAAGCAAGCTAGCTTCACTCTGTTTGGTCGAACAAAAGCTTACTCGATCTCGTGTTTTTGCATGGACTTTGAGGGAGCAAGGCATCTGGTTGACTTATTGGAGGAATGCCTGTTTAGCTCGAATAAGCGTTCTTTGATTTTGCAATACTTAATGAGTCAGCCATTTTCTCTGATCATTCTTGTATAATGTTATTCATATATAAGCGTAGTGACCCACAATACCAAAGTGCATATGAGATTTTCACTGCGAACGGCACGATCGATTCTCTTTTCGCTATCCTTCATTTTTACCACTGATCGACGTTCATATTAATGTTTCTGCTGAAATGCAAAATTTTTGGTAATGTTGTTCAGGCAGCGAACTTTTGCCTCTGGCAATGTAGGATACTATAGCAGTCATGGCTTGGGAAGTTCGATACTTTAAGCCGTACTTTTTCGACTTCAGAATTTCCCAAGAGAACCGCAGCTGGACAGTACATGAGACTCGGAGTGAAGTGAACCACAGTACCGCAACACAGTGCATGCTGTATTTCCAGTGAAATCCACGTGAACACGTAGAACAGGCAGCCAACCACTCTGCCTGACAATCGCACCACCTTTTTCTTATCCCGTGATTTTTCGAACATTTTCGTCTCAGCATGTTGTTTGATTATTCTTATCTTAGGAAAATGAAACTTTATGGCTATGAACTGTAACATCAATTCTGGATTCGTTTTTAGTCTCACTACATAACTATTTTTTAGCTTAATAACATTTACTATATTAGCGGTTAATTACATCGTATTTGACCTTACTTCATCCTGGTCATTATTAGTTTTCAATCGATTCTGTGGAATTCACTTACCGCGATGAATAGTTATTTAACAGTCTCATTTAATTTTTTGTTAGGATTCTCAGAATGCGGATGTGTCAATGGTGGAAGAAGAAAGCGAGGTTATCCAATGGGGGTCGTTGACTGTTAACTCAATAGAAACTTTCGGTGAGGTTTTTGGATTTTGTTTCTGTATTTCTACCTTATTCGTTTGTAGACCTTACCGAATCCAACAGCCAAGCACCTGAAAAGACGAAGCGAAAAGTGGAAGAAGAGGAGCAGGACATTTTCTCCCATAAAAAAGTAATGGGTTGCTATATTTGTAAGCACAAAAATTAATACTCTTTT